GGGATGCGGGAGCGAGGAGCCCGGCCACGACGCTCCCTCTTCTCCGGAGCTCTTCTCCCCCCTTGCTGCATCCCGGGATCCCCCCCGGCTGTTTCATTTCCGAGCTAAATCCAGGTTGATCCTGCAGCAGCGATATCTCCAGCCTGCCTCCCTCCCCTCCTCATTACTTTATATTAAAAGTGATTTCGCTGCAGTCACATCTCGCACTATTTATAGCCGCCGGGAGGGAATATTTCACGCGGGCTGGCAGGGAGGCTGGAAACGCGGCTCCCACCGGCTCCAGAGGGAAAATCCCCGTGTCCAAAGGCTCTGCAAGCCCCCCGGCCAGCGGATGGAGTCCAAACCCATCCGTGCGATCCACCCGAGGCAGATAATGGGATGAACTTCCCCGATGGAAGCTCGTGAAGAGGCCGGCCTCATTCCCGGATGCCTCACTGCTGATCCCAGCCCCTTTGCTGGGGGGTTATTTTATCCCAGTGTTTCAGGCTGGCCGGGAATGGTGGATTTGGGTCACAGAGATGGTCGCTTTGCTGATCCATAAGGTTGGCTGATCTAAAAGGTTGGTAAGAGCGGAGCCTCCCGTGTAATGAGGCGCAAGAGCGTCCAAAAATGGGGCAAAAAAGCTGCTAAAAGGCTTCCGAAAAGCATTGCTCTCTCAATCCGGAGTGCTAGGCACTGACCCAAGGCAGATGGAGGAGGATTCCCGAAGATGAAGCCATCATAACGTGGCCAGATCCAGGATACTCCAAGGGAATCCGCAAGCGGAGCCAGCGGCGCAGAGCAACCTAAGGGCAGGGCAGGAGGGAGGCGAAAGGAGCGGCGGAAAACGGGCTGGAATAACCAGGCATGGATGTGGAGAGCGATCCGGGTTGGATGGGGCTGCAGCAGGAAGGGGCAGGGGCCGGGATCCGGCTCCTGGCACAGCCCTGCAGAGCGGGAGCTCGGGAATGGGAGCTCAATCCCATGGGAATAACGCCACGGGAACGGGGCATCCCYGGGCTCCGTCCTCCGGGAAGGACCGGCCTCCGAGTCCCCCCTTTCCCTCCGATTGCATCCGCGGGCAAACGGGGGGTGCCGGGGGGCGCAAGCGGGAAGAGGCAGCCCTGGACCCCACTTAGGCTGGACCCCGCGGGGGATTTAATCCATGAATCAAGCCGGGCAGCGGGATTTAAATCCAAAGAGGCCGTTTGCAACGGGGCGAGCGCCGCTGCCGACACCGGCACGGAGAGGAAAATTCCCTTATCCCGCTCGCCCCGCTCCCGCCGTGCCGGCGGGGCCTTCGGAGGAAGGAGCCGGGGGCGAGCAGCGGCTCGCGGAGCCGGGGCCGCGCCGGTGACTCAGCGGCGCGCGCGTGCGCTGCATGCCAAGGAAGCGGCGGCGAGCCGGGCGCGGACGCGCCGGGAGCACCGGCACCCATGGGACACCCCGGGAAGCAGCTTCTCCCCGCGGCTGCATTGCGGGGGGCT